TTTTTGAATGTTATATATGTTGTTTTATGTTTTGCCGCCCGCCCTATAAGGGCATAGTTGTCTTTGTACTGTTCTATTATTTTAGTATAAATAATAAGTGAAGGGGGCGGCTAGATTGATTGCTCTCTTTTCTTTCAACTTCTCTTCTTCTCTTCTTCTCATCTTTTTCTTCTCTCTTCAAGAAACTACTTTATTTCATATTTTTTAATTCAACAGATTTCTACTCTTAACCATAGCAGTCTGCTCAAAAGCATTTACCTGAGAAAGAGTTGCACTATTCTTTTCTACTGCCATCAGGACTCTTCCTCCTTATCCAGTTCTTCCTGACAGGGTTTCTAGATCCATMAAAAATTCCAATAACTKGGCCCTTTTGAAGTCTTTCATCAGCTCTCTAACTCATCATGCAGTTGGCTGATCAAAGGCTGCATGGTGAAAAACTCAAAAAATCATGGAAGGTGCTCTGATACCAAGTAGAATTTCTGAACTGTGATCTGATTTGATAGCAGAAATAAAAGAAAAGAGTTTATGGAGAGAAGAGAAGAGGAGATTGAGAAGAAGAGATGGGAAAGGCTAATAATAGATCTTGCCACCCGGCTCAATAACTTATAAAATAAAAGAGAATACAATGACCAATATGCCCTTAATAGGGCGGCTACTGCTAATAGCATAAAAACAAATAAAAAAAATAAACAAACTGTTGGGCCTTGGGCCTTATAACACTAAATAGAAGGAAACAAATAAACTGCTGAATCTCAACATAAAGCACTAGTAGCAGAAGTAAACAATGACAAATTATCAGTGATAACTATGCTCAAACTTTATCTGTTGGCAATGACAATTTGTCTATCACCAGAATATGTAAGAAGGTTGACTATAATATGCCTCAATCATATGATTGGTGACACCAGAATCAATGATCCATGGAGGACTGAGTGAGGAACAAAAGTATGAGAACTTACTGAAGAGTCCTGTAGAACACACACACACAAATGAAATAGCATTGGACATAATGCTCTTAAACCCATCTCCTTTAGAATGCTAGATGTTGGATCACCCAAAGTCAAAATTCCTTCTGAGTTTCCACCAACTCCGGACTCCTTAGTAGACACCCGATAGGCCTTATGTGCATAGTCTTATTCCGTCTAAAAATGCTTCCCTTTGGAGGACAGATAGTACTCTGGGTAGATCTTTCTGAGCTTTCTTCCTTTTGTACTTGTTTGCTAGAAAAGAACTGTATCCATATCTACCAGTATTCTTCTGTTCAAAAGTCTGAAGTGACATAATGCTCTTAAACCAGAATTCTAAAGTGACATCTAAAAATGCTATTAAATTTTCTTTGATCTTGATTCTTCAAAAAAGAAAAAAAGAAATATAAAGTGACATCACCCAAATAAGCATTTCTTACTTGACAGGAGAGTCAATAATCTAGTGCAGTATTCTTCATTGGTTTTCTTGTATGAAAGAATATCCAACTCAACCCAGAACTTTTGTGCCAAGTTTGTCCACTGATGCCAAGTATGATCAGAACCTTGTAGTTTTCATCTTTCTCATGGTATGTTCACACTTGCACCAGTGGATCTCGAGATAAAAAATGCAATATTGGCATTGTCTATTTGCATTGTTGTGGTTCTTTGGTTCTTTCTTAATGGACCTCATGATAGAGCCATCCTTATAGCACCATAAACCCTTAGACAAAAACACTAGAGTAAAATATTCATACACCACAGTTTTATTCATGATACATTCTATCAATGCCACCAGATGTAAAAACTGAAACAATTTCCAACGAACCCAATGGATTACCTTATCCATGATACATTCTATCAATGCCCCTTGATCTCTCTTTACCTCCTTATGGATTCTTGCATTCCTTCTTCCAATATTGTCCAAATTATAAAGAAGGCAGCCCTTAGATGCACAGAAAAGCTGTTTCCATGACTGCCCAAAGGATAGATAGATAGATATCCAACTATAGCACAATGCCTCATTCGTAGTACTACAGAATTTTCCCTCTTTATCATTTAAGGAACATTAAATTATATTTAGGTTGGACCTCGTTTTTTTCGTCCACTATGAAAATATCATGTGCAATTTACAGACCACCCCACTTGTGTTAGAAAATGCCCTTTCTTTTGTYGATAAAGGAGGGCTGTTAGGCCTACTGCAGAATTTTTAGCCTGTTTAATGTTGAAAACATACCTATGAAAAATTCAAACATCAATTTCATTGTCTTCTTACCAGAAAATAAATGATTCTCTACAAAACTTAGAATGAAATTTAATAATAATTTTTAGTGAAATTCTTGGTGGAATTCTTCTTGTAATGGTATAATTAGCAATACACGTTTGTGTCTTATGTTAATAATTTAATATTCCTTTTATTTTTGCAGGAGCTCTATATCAGGGATGCACTTGGTTCTCCCTTGCTTAATTCATCTATGGCACCACCACACTCTGTAAGTGGCATGAATGGTGTCGATTTGTTTATATGAACCTTTCTCTTTCATTATTGTTAATACACAAATTTTTAGGATGCTAAGCTACTACTAATGACCTGAATTTCAACAAAAATGAAATATGGGAAAAGTACAATTGTCCCTTTTCTTGGGGGGGGTGGGAGGACGAAAAGAAATATTGCTTCAACAAACATGAACCATGACTTTGCCAAGCATACACATTCGTGAGGCTTTCCTGTCATTCTATGGGGCCACACTGGTGAGAATTGACTCAATTGGATGCTGGAAAAACAAAATGGTGCATCAAATGAATGCCTATATTGATAACAGTGGCATAAATTTATCTGGTTTGATCTTGAATAGAAGGTATCCAAAATATTCTTGTGCTAAAATAAAAGAAATTGTTGTGTACTTTAATTTGTAGTTCTGAATA